CTTTGTGTGTTTTTGTCACTTTTACAGTGGATTGCATCAACTCTGTTACATCCAGAAGGGAAACTTCACCAAAGTGAAACATAAATTCAGTTCAGTGAAATTTATTTTCAAACCAATTTATTCAATTTCAAATTCTGCACATTCAGATTCAACCCTGCTGGCACAACATTTATCACATATAAACACTCAGACGACCTCTGCAGCTGCAGCAGAAGTTCTGACCCCTGAACACCAACGTTTAACCCAGACGCTCAGACTTAAAGCTCTGGATCAACCTGATCTCCGGTCCTACCTTGAACTCCTGCAGCTGCTGTTTGATCACCTCCACCTCCGAGCCCACCACGCCCTGCGCGTTCAGACCCTCTTCGGCTCGTCCCAGCAGGCCTTGCAGCTCCGCCCCCAGCCTGTAGAAGTCCTGAACCCTCCCAGCGGCATCCTGGATCTGGTCCAGGCGGGCCTGGCCGCGCTCGCTCAGCTGATGGGCGGGAAAACGGAACGTGACTCAAACATTAAAAAACTAAAAAACCACCGGTCCGGTTTGTYTCTGCTCACCTTGCCGGCCTGGCGGCTCAACGCCTCCGCCTCCCTCCTGAGGGCCAGCAGGTCAGGGGAGGAGCCCTCCCGCCTCAGCATGGCGGCGCAGTCGGAGGCGTGACCCTCCAGCTCCGCCCTGAGGTYGGCCAGGCGGGACAGGAAGCCCTTCACGGCGTCCGCCTGAGAGGCCAGGGAGTCGGCGTCCCGTCCCACGGGGCTGAGCGAGTCCAGCTCGTCGTCCAGGTCGGCCAGGCGGGAGAAGACGTCCCGCACGTGAGCCTGGACCTCGCCCACGCCCTGGAGGCGGGACTCCAGGGAGGAGCAGCACGTCTCGATCTGACGGAGGACGACAGGAAAGACATCAGGACAAAAAGACTCCAGCATTTTAACTCAAAATCAGCTAAAAGCTGGTGTGGTAGCAGCCGAGTGCTAACAGGAAAGCTGTTTTCTCAGGATCGAAAATAGATTTATTGTCAAAAAGAAAAAATCAGTAGGTCCTATGGATGGTTCTTTAGTGAAACATTTCATCTCTCCTCCAAGAGACTTCTTCAGTCTGATGAGTTTCAGGTGAACTCAGCCTTATAAGCTCCGCCTCCACATGGTGGACAAACAGGTTAGTCACATGCAAAAGAGGGCCATCGCTTAACAATAGGCTTGATTAGTTCTATTGTTCATAGAGGGTCATGTGACCCATCAGCTGACTTATTGGTTTGGATGCTGTGGTTCTTAGATGTAGTGTCATGTGTATGTTGTGAATGCAGACGGGGCTCAAAGTCTCCTTGTTTTTGTTTTTTCCCTCTTTGTGTTGGTATCATTGGGGCCCTGATTCACACCTTTTGCTCACAGGGGGCGGAGTCATACTAA